AGTCCAGTCCCCCTTCACCCACTCAGCTTCAGTCTGTGCTAGCAGAAGTGGAGGGATTGGAAACCCATGGCACCCCTGGTGTGATGGAAACAGGCAGGGGAGTGGGAAGGAGTGTGGGGCTCAGCAGAGACTCTGTGCGGCAGCAGTGGGGCTGGGCTCCTGCTGTACTCCCTCTGCCCGGGGAGTTAGCTGCACAAATCACCCTGAGGATTGTCCCTGGGGCAGGTGTGTGCATGGCAATTCTTCCTCCAGCTCCTCGCTACTACCCTGAGTCCCCTGGGAGAATGACTGGGAGGAGGGAGGATGCTCCCAGTGCTATGCCAGGCTGCAAACACATTATCTTCATCATCCTCATGCCACAGGACCCATTTGGCATCAGATGGGGGATGATGAAGGGGCTGCATGAAAGCCGAGTGCTGGGATTTTAAAGAACACCTACGTTTTGACACACTGAGTAGAAAGTTTAGTGATGGGGAGGTTTTAGGTCAGTTTTCCTTCCTGCTAACAAGAGAGGGGCAGAGGGAAATAGAAAAGGGGGGAAATATGAGGATGTGCAGGGCTGGGGGTGTCACACTGTCCTAGGTCTCTGTAGGGTATTCCCCTCCACCCCGGCTGCTTTCCCTCGAGGGCCCTGAGCCGTAGCTGTGTAGCTATTTAGTTAAATATTAAGAGCTCAAGTAATAGGGAACCAGAAACCTAATTACACGCTGCCCTCCATGGCACAGTGGTTTCTGGTGAAAGTGGAGCAAATGCGTCCCCTTGTGTTACAGGAATGTTGTGCTGCTGCTGGAGTGATGGCCAAAATCCAGCCAGACAGTGAGTGCTCTGGACACCTTGCAGGTGGGAGATGCCACACTGCTGCACAGGGAATTTCGGCAGCCCCTGGCTCCATGGTGCCCACGCACTGGGTCTGGGGGCCTGCAGTTGAGCTCAGCCTGTGGGGTACGGGCACCTCTGGGTGCTCCTCCATGTCCCTGAGCAATGGGAGCCCCCACTGGGGCTGGTTGGGACACACTGTCCTGGGATGGGGCAGAGAAAGGCAGGGCTGGGGGAGCTCTTCCCTGCCCCATGGCAGGCTCAGCTCCCAGCTTGCAATGCGTTCATTCTCCTGCCTCCCAGTGGGGAAACTGAGGCAGGGGCCAGCCAAGGCCACCCACCCAGGGTCACAGCCACTGGGCACAGCCTGGGCATCCCTAACTGCCAAGCTGCCCACTGGTCGTTTTCCCACTTTTCCTGGCTGGGGTGGGCCCTTCTCCCGGGGTCAGCTGTGGGAGAGGCTAGTTTCCATGGCTCATGGTTGTCTCTGCACGGGCCCCCCACCCCAAATCCCTCATGGTAGCAGCCCCACAGAGGCACCACAGCCTCCCAGCTCAGCCCAGTGCTCACAGAAAGTTGCAGGGCCACCATACATCCCACACCTCCACTGCCCTCCATCTCCTGCCCAAAAAGTAGCTGGAGCCATGCTGTGTTGGGAACATCTTTATTCGGACAACCCCACATCCACGGGGCAGGCAGGGTATGGCCTATATGGGCCTGTCCCAGCCCACCCCACCACTGCCTGGGATCCAGGGCTCATCCTCATCATGAGGCCGCTCGCCAGACGTCCCGCAGACGGGCCTTCACCTGAAACTTCTGCACCTGCAACACAACACCAAACTTGCCCTCCAGAGAGGGCAGGGGCTGGTCCTCGGGGCACTCGAGTGTGAACCTCTGCAGCACCCAGGCCAGGAAGAGGAAGAGCTCCATCTTGGCCAGGACTTTTCCCAGGCAGACACGGATCCCGGCCCCGAAGGGGAGGTAGCTGGGTGAGGGCGAATGGATGTGCTGGCCCTGCTCATCCAGGAAGCGGCCTGCAAGGGGAAGGGGTACTTGCCATCAGCAGGGATCAAGACCTGCCTGAGTTCATCACGTGCGTGTCCCTCCCATGAGCTGCAGAAGCAGAGATGTTGCAAATGCCCCCGACAGGTGGGAGCAGGATCTGACCTCCTACCACCAAGCCTCCCCCAGGGCTGCACCCACCCTGCCATCCCCTGACCCACCAGGATTGAACTCCTCGGGCTTGTCCCACTCCTTCTCGTCATGGTGCACGGACCAGAGGTTGATGATGACCCTGGCACCTTTGGGGATGGAGTATTCCCCAATGCTGGAAGGCGAACACAGAGTGAGACAGTTGCTCCCTCCCACAAGTCACTTGCCCACAACCTGGCTGCATCCCAGCGGGGTCTCACCTGGTGTCAGCAAGGGACACATGTGGGATGAGCAGGGGAGACACGGGCCGGATGCGCAGCACTTCACTGATGGTGGCCTCCAGGTAGGGCAGTAGTGGGCGGTCGCTGAGGTGGGGGTGTCGAACCAGGCCAATCTTCTGGTCCATTTCCTCCTGAATCTTCCTCTGGACCTGGGAAGGGAGCAAGGACTGGGGCCGGAGCCCAGGGAGGGGTTGCCCTGTGCACAGTGGGGTACATCCAATCATCACCACCATGTCCTGTCAGGTTGTGTAGGGCAGAAGTAAAATAGCCACAGCCTGATCCTGCCTATTTGCGGGGCCTGACATCTCTTTTGGCATCTGCCCTCCCCCAAAGCCCCTCACAATGTCCCTGGTGCAGGAGGGAGCTCAGGCCCCCTGCCATGGGGTGCAGACCCTACCTCAGGGTAGTGGAGCAGGTAGAGCACAGCCCATTTGAGAACAGTAGTGGTGGTCTCCACGCCAGCCCCAAAGATGTCCCCCACTGTCATGAGGAGGTGGTCGTCAGTCAGCTCCAGCCCTGGCACCGGGGGGCTGCTGTTCTCAGCACTGAGCCTCACTTGCAGCAGGGCATCCATGAGGTCCTTCACAGTGTCTCCAGAAAAGGCTTCCTGCCAGGGGACATGTGTAAGCTGGGCTGTCTTGGGCATATCCCAGCTCCAGCACCCTGCAGCTCCTAAGCATCTCCCTGTCCTGGCCCCACTGGCACCTTGTGTTCAGTGAATTTCTGCTGGAGCAGCTGGTCTCGGACCTGGAGGCATTTTTTCAGCAGGGCCAGGTCCTTGTTGGGGAAGATCTAGGGGAGAGAAGCCACATTACAGCAAGGGACTCCAACTGAGCCCAGCCCAGCCCCTGCAGGTCCCCAGGCAGTCTCTCCATGCCAACCAGGATACTGGGATACCAGGGCAGGAACTCTCCTAACTCTGGGGGGCTCCTGCAGGACACATCCCAGCTCCTTCCTCTTGTCTGAGGTAAGAGGAACAGGCAGTCCCCATGTCCCTGCTCACCTGGAGCCAGGGGAAGATGTCCACCAAGCTCTCCTTGGCCACGGTGTCCACGATACCCTGGCTGTACTCCAGCATGGCCTCGAACTCGGGGTCCCCGCGCCGGTATGAGGAGTTGAAGCAGAGGGAGCAGACCACGTTGGTGACAGCCCGTGTGAGCTCAGGGGCCATGTCCAGGGCCGTATCCTGCGCAGCGCCGAGCGTCTCACACAGGGATGCAGCCTCCCGGCAGACTGAGGTGGAGGAGAGGCAGGCGAGGGGGTGCTGAGGTGGTGATGGTGAAGCCAAGGGGTGAAGGGGGCAGCTCGGGGCTGGATAGAGGGGTCCCTGCTCATTCAGGGTGTGCTTCCTGCAGAGCATCCCCCTGCCAGGGCTGAGCCCCAAGGGCCTGGGATGGGCAGAAGGGACAATGCTGGGTGCTGGGAGGAGGAGGGTGGATGGAGACATGCAGGGAAGTCTCTAAGTGTGGCTCAGTGCTATTCTTGGGTGGAGCAGGGAATAGCATGCCTCAATGTCCCCATCTATGACTGAGGGTAACTAAAGCTGGGGGCAAAAAATGTGTGGGGAGAGGTGTGGGTAAAGTAACAGGGATGGAAGGAGAGGGACCAAGTGCCTGCTCGGCAAGGGGATGCCAGGGGGGTTGAGCTGAGTCAGGATCTCCCCTTGGTTCCCAGGGAATCAGAGGTTCCCAGAGAATCAGAGGAAGGAGAAGTCCAGCCTGGATTAAGTGCAGGAGGGAGCCAGAGCTGGGAGGGAGCCTGGGGGCTGGGGGGAGGCACTTACTGATCCTCTCGAGGGCGAGCGAGCCCTCCCCAAACATGGAGAGAGCAGTGTGCACCAGCTTGCGCTGGAACTTCCAGAGGGGCCCGTAGCTGGCGAAGGCGATGTCCTTGCCCCCCCGGGACAGCAGGTCTGTGGTCACCTGGGGGACAGGCAGTCCCAGCGTCACCCTGCTGCAGAGCAGCTCTGTGAGGGTGACACCTGGGGCGACGGATGATCATCTCATCTCATCCCAGGGATGGTCTGAGGGGCTGGGGGTTAGCACAGGCAGACAAAGCCTGAGCTATGAGCTTTGCTTTCCCCCCTGCCAAGGACTGATAGAGGCATTTGGGATCAGGTGCCAGGGTCAAGGGCTCTAGGGTACCCAGGAAACTTAGGGGGTGTGGGGAGCCTGATGATACCTGAACCCATGTCCCCATGTCCCGAGATGCAGCCAGCTGCGGGGAAAACAGGCACCCTCGGGATGGAGGATGCCCAGGGTTCGCTCTGGGGAACGAGGCATTGAGGGGCTGCCCTGCCACTGGCTTGCTGCGGGCAGGATGGGGAGAGGAGGAGGATCCTGCTGGGTGCTGGTGCCTTTCTTGGGAGCAGCCCCCGCCTCATCCCACACCACCGTGGGAAGGGTCCCCCCAAAACCTGCCACCGACTCACGGTGCGGGGCCGTCCGGCGAAGTCTTTCCCCTTCTTCAGCAGCACCTCCCTGGCGTGCCGGTAGCTGTTCACCACCACCACGTAGTGGGAGCCCATCCAGAGGGCGTAGAGGCTGCCGTAGTGTCCCTGCAGGCGCCACAGCCGCAGGTGAGCTGGGGTGCCCGGCCAGCTGCAGCAGGCTCCCCGACGAACGGCAGGGGCCGGCAAGGCTCCGTGGGCGCCCCAGCCCACGTCCCTGTCCCTGTTCCCGAGGGTCCCGCGTCGCGCCAGCATTCGGTGCAGAGCAAGGGCAGGGCCAGCAGCAGGCGCCCAGCAGCGCCATGGCGGGCCGGCGAGGCTTTGCGGGCAGCCGCGGGGGCCCTGTATAGCGCCGGCGGGGCCGCGCCTTCGCCCTGAAGGCGGGCTCGGTCCTTATCGGGGGGACGGGGAGGGGGGAGCCGGGCCTGGGCCCGTGGCCAGCTCTGCAGCTGTGGGCACATGGCGGGGGGCGAGGGCAGCAGGGCCACGGCCGCGCTGGGTGGCCGTGGGGGAGCTGCATCCAGCGGGCTGGGGGCCAGGGGATGCCCAGGGTTGGGTCTGTCCTTGGGGTTCCATCCCCAGGGCCCTGTGGGGGGTGAGGGGACAACCGAGCCCTCGAGGTCTGTCCTGGGTGCCATGGGCACAGCTTGGGGGGTTCGTGGGGCACTGGGGTCCGTCCCCACCCTGGGAGCACCTCGATGTGCCCGGGAGGGAATGGGCAGCACAGGTGCGGAGGGCTGGGCAGCGCTGGGCAAGCACTGGGAGTGCTGAGAAGCCCTGGACAACACTGGCCAGGGCTGGGAATGCTGAGAAGCCCAGAGCATCCCCGGTTGTCAGCCCTGGTCAGTGATGGGGAGCAACGGGCAGCACTTGACAGTGCTGGGCAGTCTTCACCAGTGCTGGTGAGGACTGGTCAGTGCTGAGAAAGTCTGGTCAGAGTGCTTGGGCAAGAAACTCAGTGATGGCCAGCCCGGCAGCCTCGGGATTGCCGCGTGCCCCGCGTGAGTCCGAAGATGATGTGTCCTGCGCGGAGTCCCTTGGAAAAAGAAGTCCCTCCCAGCACTGCCCCCACCTCACAGCGGCCCTTCGCCTTCACGATCCTTTTGGCCCCGCGCTCGCCGTAGCGGCTCCCGGGGCGGGCGGGGCGGGCGGGCAGATGGCGGCGGGGGCGCGACGGACGCCCAGGCGCGTACATTAAGGGCACTCGTGAAAGGGCTCTGACCGAGAAGGTGACAAGCGTTGCGGCACCGACGTGATCGCCCTCACCAGCAGTGCTGAAGGCTCCCGAAGCGCCCGAGTGGAGGCGGCGTGCCGCGACGGCGCGGTTATCAGGGCCCGGTCGAGCCCCGCCGGTGCAGAGCGGAGCGTCCGGATACGGCGGCGCGGGGCATGCTGGGAGCTGTAGTCCAAGGCGAGGACACATCCCCGTGTCGGGCAGAGACAGGAAAGCGGGACCGGGATGCGGGCACGGCTGGGCAGCGCCGTGGGGCTCTCGATGCCTCTGGCAGCGCTGGGAGGCGGGAGGCTGCCCCTGCCTCACGTTGTTTCTCAGGGTGACCGACGAGAGCGGTGCCTCAGACGCTCCCTATGGATGTTGGGCCCAGGGCACCGCGGTGCTCCCCGAGATGTCATCCCGAGTGTCACCCTGCGAGCCGTCACAGGGGCCTCGGAAAATGCAGAGCTGCTGCCTCACAGCCTGGTCTGTGCATTTGTCTTTTAGCTCCTGGGTCAAGCTGCGAGGAACATGGTGATGCAAGAAGATGCCATCCTGCACTCGGAAGATGTAAGCTGTGTTCTTCTGCTCGAGCAACAGTGATTCCAGGGACAGGAGCAGGGGAGGGTGATAAGAACAGTTTGCAGACATGCTCGCAGAGCCCTGAAGTGAAATACATGCGTTAAGCAGGCCTGGTGGCCAGGATAGTTTAGTGCTTCCTCAAACCCATGTGTGCCACTGGCCCCCCAGTGCCCTGTAGCCCAGTCAGCTGTGACCTCTCTGATGGGAAGCTGGAGGGACTGTGGGCTGAAACAAAGCACTTATATCTGTGCCTGTCATTGGGAAAGAAGAGGAGAGTGTGCCACTGCTGACAGATACTGGCAGGGGTATTTTGTAGGCAGTGCAGTGATACAGTGATGGCTGTGACTCCCCAGGGTATTGGGACAGCTTGCACTGTGATTTTGTAAGCATTCATTCTTTGTTTTGTTCTCCACAGAGTTTAAGAAAAATGGCTATAATAACCACTCATCTACAGTACCAGTAAGTATGTTCTCTCTCAGGGATTGAGTGGATCCCTCAGTCCTTTTCTGTTCTCCTTAAAGACTTTGCGTGAAGCCTACTCAGACCAATCCCTCTTTTCCAGTTCTTCAAAGCTGAGCAGACCCTGGAGCTGGAATTTTCCAGCCCTCTTCAGCTCCACTGGTACAGCTCAGGCTGTTCTGGAGTGGGAGCTGAGATTTCTGCCTCATGTTTGCCATGTACCATGTCGCCCATGAGCATGTGTGACACATCTAGGGCTAAGGGGAAGAAGCCAGTACCACTGCTGTCCCTTAGGCCTTAATCCAGAAACAGGGGATTTCTGTGTGTCTCCTGAGCCATTGTTCAAGTACCTTTTCTTTAACATAACATCATGACTGAGATTTTGGTTTTGTAATGCTCTTTTTATCTTTCCTTTTCTCATCTAGGCAAGAAGCAATTCAGAAGAAGTGAGTACCGTTCTGGGGGACCTGTGGGTGTGGAAAGGGAAAAATGATGGAGTAGGATGGCAGAAAGCAGAGTGGAAAGGTGTTTGCAGCTGCCTTTGAAGCAGATGCTGGCCCAGCAGGATAGTGTTTCAGTATTGTGAAGAGATGGGAATTTGAGTGAAGAGGCGGGATTTATACCATTCACTGACATGATAGAGCCTGTGAGGTTGCTTGTGATTGCAGATGGGGGTGGTGTGGAGCAGAGCTGTGTAGAGCAGGGTGCACAAAGTGAGGCTTGCCTGTGGGGCATGGAAGTGGGTTGGGGAGCCTCAGGGTTTCTCTTTGCTGTAGTGTCAGCACTCGAGCTGCTCTGGTCCCTTGGGCACAGGCAGCACAGCACAGTCTGGGGAGCAGATCTCACTCTAAATCTCCTCTTGGTCCCCAGCGTCGAGCGGTCGTCAAACCTTCAGGACCAGCTGAATCACTTGCTGAAGTGAAGGGGAGCCAAAGGCACGAGGATGTCTCAACTGGCACTGAGGGAAGCAAAACATCTTCTACCATCCAGCCCTGGGGTTCAGAACTATGTCTGGATCATGCTGGATGTCAGCTGGAATATGTGTAGAGTCTGTGTTTCTGGGCATGTGGTCCCCTTTCATGTGCCTCCATCCACACCTCTGCTCCGGAACGCTCACCTGTGCCCAGCTGAACCCAACTCACCTGAAACTTTGCTCCCTCCAGCAATTCCCGTGTCCACTTACTTGCCATGTAGGGTGAGGTGCTCTGCTCACACCAGCAACCCTGGAAAGAAGTGCATAGAGTTGAGCTGTGGGGTTTAAATGCAGGTACTTGCAGCTTGCCACTGGTCTGTATTTAGCCACAGAGGTGGCACAGAGTGCAGTTTATTTAGGGCATGTTAATCAGTGGGAGCTGCAAGTGCCTGGGTGGGCGAGAGGTGCTTCAGTATTGGCTGAGGTGCCAGTCCCAGCCCAGAATTTCTGAAACCAGGAATCTGGGCACACACCTCTGCCAGTGGTCTAGCTGGATGTTGTTTGGCCAGCATCCTGGTCAGAGGTTATCTTATTTTCCACTGTGCCAGAATTTGGAATGTCAGCCCCTTGCCAGCCCATCTGCGCTGCATTCAGCCTTCAACTGCATTCTTTTTCCTGGGCTGCTGCTCCAGCTATTGATGAAGCAGCCTTGGCTGTGGTGTGTGTTTGTATCTGGTTGGGAAGGTATCCAAAGGCCCAGCTGGGAAGTAGGCAGGAGAGCATCATGAGCTGGTGTGCCCAGTTCTGCACTGCTCTGTTGAGGACTAGTGACCTGTTCACATCCTGGGGAGTTACACCAGGCCCAGGCTATAAACACTGTGTCTTGTTTTTGATATGTCACTTATCTGGAGCACTTGGAGTGCACGGGAAGCACTTGTTTCCCTGAGTGTGCTTTTCACCAGCTGATAGGAGCAGTCAGGCTGAGAGTGGGCATTGGCCTGCCACATTCCTGTTGGAGCGCTGCTGGGGTTTGGCTCCTGTGCTGCAGAGCCTTCTCCTGGGCTGGATTTCACCATTCCTGCCAGGACCACTGCCTGTTTGGGCTTCACACAATGGCACCACAGCTCCTGCATCCCCATGAAGGTGCCACTGTTAGCCCAGGGGCCATTGTGGGTATTTTTGCCTTGGGTGGGGTCCTGATCCCCAGCTTTGCAATGGGAGTGAGGGTTTTCCCTGAGGTACTGGAGAAGCTGCAATATTCTTGCTGGGAATAAAAGCTGTCCTGAACACCACCAAATTGCAGTGGAGTCTGTGCTGGATGCCAATGGTGGCAGTTCCTGTGTGGCAGGGAGACTGTTTGGGATGGTGGGTCTCTGCCCCCCAGTGTCCCCCATCGTGCTTCAGCTCAAGGATCTTTGCAGAGGCAGTGTGTCCTTGTTGCAGGTGGCTCATCCCCTCCAACGTCCTGTCCTCTGCAGAGGCTGGAGCAGCCCTGTGGCATTAAACTTATATCTCCCTGCATTTGGGGCGAGCAGGGACAGGGCTGTACCACGGAGGTGCAGAGCTGTTGGGGGGCAGGCAGCAGAGTGGGTTTGGGGTTGTGGATGCAGGGACAAACAGAATGATGGGGTCATGCCCACCATGGGAGCGGGGCCAGCTCCCCTCGCCGTGCCAGTGTGCCTGCAGTGCCATGTGCCTGGGGTCTGGGCGAGGCAGGAGCTGGTGTCGGGATGGAAGCCAGGCGCGGGGTGGCACGGGATGCCGGGGCGGAGCATGGCCCGGGCCGGGCAGAGTCCGTCCGAGGCGCTGGAGCTGGAGGCAGTATGGCAGCAAGGGGCCTCTGCTGCGGGTGCTGGGACCGCCCTGGGGGCACCCTCAGGCCAGAGGGCTCTCTGCAAAGCAGGGAGAGGGGGTTTACCCTACAGGGTTGTTTTGGGGGGTCATCCCTTCATGGCAACTGGGATGGTGTTTTTGGAGGGAGGGGGGGACTGTTATTAGGTGCCCCCAGGAGTAGACTGCAAGTTTTGGGGTGTCTCTTTAGGTTCTGCTGGGGGAGAGCAAAAAGTGCTCCGGTATCTGGGGGAAGAGGTGGGGTTTAGAGCCTTGAGGAGGTCCTGATGTGATGCCCATCTCTGTGGTGTCAGGCACCAGCCCTACATTCTCCTTGCAGTGGCAACTCCCTGCAGAGAGCAGATCCACCAGGAGGTGCAGGTGAGGGGTGCTACGGGAGCTGGGGGTGGGGGCCGGGGCGGCTGGACAGGGGATGTGCTGGGGTCCCTGCTGCCATCAGAGGATAAAGCTTGTTTGGGGCCCAGAGGAAAATGTCAGGTGCAGTCAGCAGCTTTGCTCCTGTTGCCCACAGGGGTGGAGGGGGCTGAGCAACCTGGTGTTTCCCTGCCCTCGTTCCCCACACCCTCCTCGGCCAGGGAAGTGGTGGCTGCAGCCTACAAAGTTATTGCAAATGGGAATTAAATTCCCTCCTGCACAAACACATATGTGCATGTGAGCAAGGGGAGCTGGGGAGGATGGGGGCAAGGGAATACGTGATATTAGTCTAATTTTTAGCTGGGTGGAAGTGAGAATGCCAGTGCTGGAGGACATCGAGGCATGTACAGGCTGAGCACAGGCATGGCCCCCATATTTTGGAGCATGGGGAGTTCCCAGGGCGCAACTGGCCATAGTTTAGTGGTCCCTGTCCTTCCTGTCTCAGGATTACTATGGTAAAGAGCTGCAGAAGTCAGAGGACCTCAAAACCAATGCATGTGTCACCTCTGCCAGGCCCCTTCCCAAGGCAGTGAGAGATGCTTTGGAGCATGTCCATGAGGAGGTGGTGGCCAGGTAAACCCCAGGATCTCTCCCTACTGCTGTGTCCCCATGGGCTGCAGCCCCCTGGACAGCCATGTCATGGGGGCATCTCCACCTGGCACAGCTCAGCTTCTGCCCAGGTACTACGGCTGTGGGCTGGTGATCCCGGAGTGCCTGTTGTCATGCCGGATCCTGGACCTGGGCTGCGGCAGCGGCAGAGACTGCTACGTGCTGAGCCAGCTGGTCGGGGAGCAGGGCCACGTCACCGGCATAGACATGACCGAGGGCCAGGTACAGTGCAGAGCTGGGTCTTCCCCTCATCCTCCCAGTAGCCCCCCACCATTGTTCCCTTTCTCCTACCAGGTTGAAGTGGCAAAGAAGCACATTGCCTACCACATGAATAAGTTTGGCTACCGAAAGCCAAATGTGGAGTTCCTCCATGGCTACATGGAGAAGCTGGGTGATGCTGGGCTGGCTGATGAGAGCTACGATATTGTTATGTAGGTACCATGCAGGGTCACCCTCAGTCCTGCTGCTCCCCGGGGCTGTGGGTGGGGATCTGGGTCCACATCCCACTGGGTCACCTGCTTCAGAAGCACATGTTAGCAGTAGGGAAATCCCAAGGCAGATCCTGGGCTAGAGTCTGGGAATATACAAACTGCCCTTTTCATCGTCAAGTCGGTGTTTCCAAACCCTGCATGAAGCGACAGGATGCGCAGCAGCTGGTGGATGTGCTGCAGCCAGTGGGGAAGAGAGTGCAAATAAGCCTTGGTCTCTTCCTTTCCAGCTCGAACTGCGTGATCAACCTCACCCCTGACAAGAAGGCCGTGCTGCAGGAGGCCTTCCGTGTGCTGAAGGTGATGCTGGGCCTGTGTCCAGAGCACCAGAGCAGGCTTGGGGTGCCCCTGCTGTTAGGGTGCCACTGGGAAGCAGCAAACGGGATGCAGCAAGGTGGAGATGTGGGATGGGGCCATGGGAGGGCACCTCTGCAGAGGGTGCCAAGCAGAGTAGCATTAGTGTGTTCCCAATTTCCCGTGCCTCTTTTGTCCTTTTACTTCTTGGGGGTCTCCCTTCACTCCTCACTGCCTTCCAGCCCGGGGGAGAGATGTATTTCAGCGATGTCTACGCCAGCCAGCACCTGAGTGAGACCATCCGGAAGCACAGGGTGCTGTGGGGTGCGTAGGGCTCTGGGATGGGGGACGTGGGATGGGGGGTGGGACCTTTGTCTCCATCACCTGTGTCTGTGGTCTCATGCTAGGGGAGTGCCTGGCAGGAGCCCTGTACTGGAGAGATCTGTACAGCATCACTGAGGAGGTGGGGTTCAGCCCCCCGTGCCTGGTCACTGCCAGCCCCATCACCATCGGAGACAAGGAGCTGGAGGGCATCATCAGTGAGGGTCCAACCAGGGAGTGTCAGCTCCAGGTGGCTGTGGGGAATTGTGCTGGGATCCCAGGCCCTGCTGGATCCCAGCCTGGGTGTTCATTGTCCAGCCCACCAACCTCTCCCTTGCAGGAGACTGCCGCTTTGTTTCTGCAACCTTCCGCCTGTTCAAGGTGCCGGGTGGCAGCCGGGCCGGGCCAGGACAGGTCATCTACAACGGCGGGATCATGGGACACGAGCGAGAGCTGGTGTTTGATGCCAACTTCACTTTCAAGGTGCAGGGAGTCCTGCAAGCAGTCTTGGTCTGTAGGGATGGGTTAACGCTGATGAAGCAGTGCCACTCGGGAGTGTCCTCTGTGATTTGGGGGACAAGCTTTGGTCAAAGGGGTGATGAGTGGGAGCAGAGGGGCTGTATAAATCCAGGGGAGTGCAAATGGGCAGGAAAGGGTTACATATCCGTGCATTGTATTGCAGTAAAGGTAGAAGCAGGACACCCATGGTGGCTTCCTAAGAGGGTCTGAAGCCCGCTGCTTGGTTGTTGTGGGTGTTTCTCTAGAGTTCTGGGCCAAGATCTGCCCCCGCTTTCTCTCCCTCCATTGTCTGGCAGGGTGGCTGGGGCCCCTTGGGACACATATCCAGGACCCCAGCCCTGTGACTGTTCCTCTGCTCCCAGGAAGGAGAGGTGGTGGACGTGGATGCCGAGATGGCTGCAATCTTGCAGAGCTCCAGGTTTGCAGAGGAGTTCCTGATCCGAGCTGGGGCCAGTGCCACAGCAGTGCAGGGCAACTGTTGCAAGGGGGCGAAGGTTGGTAGCAGGCAGCTCTGTGGCTGGGTTCAGGGATGGGCACATGGGTGTCCTGTGCCATCAGAGTTGCCCTGGGGTATCAGAGGGCCTATGGCATGATACCAAGACACCCGAGTGCTTCTGGGCCAGGCAGAAGCCTATGGGGCACCAAGGTTGGTGCCTGGTGCTAAGTGTGGACAAACTGTACCCCAGCCCAAGTCAGAGCCCTCCAAAGGGGGGGGTCTGCTCTAACCACCAGTTGTGAGAACCCCTTGCCCCCCCCAACATGTCCGTGGGGACTGGTGAGGCTAACAGCTGGACTTTTCTGAGGTCTCCCAAGGGCAGACATCCTTCCCCTGAGGGGAGTGGCTGTGTACAGCCTGCCGGAGGAGGTGATGGCCCATCCCTGCAGCTCCTTCCTGCCCATTGCTCTCCCATCAGCAGCTGGGAGAGCAGATTGGCCCTATCTGCCAACCCTGACCTTGCAGCACAAAGCACTCTATCTGCTGGAAACCTCTTTCTTCTCCTTGGTGGTCCCTCCAGCCTGTAGATGGGCCAGGAGAGGCAAGGGAGATAATGCCCTGCAGCTGCGTATCCCTGAAACGCAGCCTTGTACTTGGGGAGGGGAGATGTTCTTGGGTCTCTGTCCAAGCAGGAGGCATTTCTGAGATAAAAGCAGAGCCAAAGTCCCAGAGAAACTCTTGGCTTCCTCCTCATAGCAGAGAAAAGCAGCTAGAGTGACCCAGGAGCTTAGGGGGTCTGCTTGGGTTGCTCTGCACTGGTAGGGTTTGAGAAAGGGGGAAATGTCACTCTCAGGTTACCTCTTGCTTCCCTCTGACCTGATCCTGCCCTGGGTTTTTCTCTGCTCTCCAGGAGAAGATCTGCAATCCCTTCCAGCTGCTGGAGCAGCTGGCAGCCCCAGGTCCTGCCTGCTGTCCTCGTGGCACCTGTGGTCCCCCAGGGTGCTGCTGAGTGCCCACACGCCAGCAGATGCCAGCAAGGCAGGAGGACATGGCCCCAGTGGCGTGTCTTTCACCAGAGAGCAAATAAATGTCTGAGCTCAGAGGCTGTGTGCTCATGGCTGGGACCACAGGGCCTGTGGGGTACTGTGCTTCCATGTCAGGGGTGGTGGGGCAGGTTGTGCCTGGGTGCAGTGAGGACAGACAGCTGTCCTGTGGGTCCCCTCGCTGTGGGGCTGGCAGTGGCTGCATGGCTTGGACACACGGGCCGGGACAGTCTCTGTGGGAAAGGGATTGTGGGTCCCTGAACATGAGAGATGGCAGATCTGGCGTGTGCTTGGCAGCAACTGTGTGCTGGTGCTGAGCCTGTGGGGACCTGATCCTGCAGCATTCCCCTCCTCTGTGTCAGCCTGGCTCCAATTTTTGGTCCTGGGGAGCTTGCAGCTCAGATCTAAATGCTTCTGAGAAGTGAAAGGCACAGCAATAAGCAGCCCAGTTGCTCTTTTCCTTATTTTGATCTTGCTGTGCTACCCTCCATATGCAAGCATCTGCCATGCAGAGTCCATGCCAGCTGCCCGTGGGGTGAGCATCTCCCCGTGGGGTGAGCATCTCCCCAGGGTGGTGGGCAAGAAGGATTGGTCAGCTCCTGGGGCCTCAGCCAGACCTGCTTTTCCATCAAGAACTCAACGTGGCACACAGGCTGCGGAAGGATGTCCCCTTTATTTGCATTCAGGGCGGGGATGCCCCAGGCGCAGCTCCCCATGCTTTGCAGCTCGTTCCAGGAGATGGGAATTGCTCTCTCCTTACCTGTGCAGCGTCGCTGAGATTTCTGTTTTCTCCTGGACTCCATCTAGTGGGAAAGCCTCGAGTCCCCTGCAGGCACCGCACTTGCGGAGTTTTGCAGGGAAATACGGCGCTTCTGGAAAAGCAGAATCGCGTCTGGCCCCATCCCGTAGCGGGCAAAGAGCGAGGGCTTCGAGGCTGCGGTGGGAGGTGATGGGCTGCACTCCTGCTGCCCAGCAGGAATCCTGCATGCTCTGGCTTGCAGACGCTGTTTGGGAAAGGCTGGGGTCTGTTGAACAGCCCTTAGGTGAGCAGCTGTGCTTGGAAATGAGGGACCATTTCCAGCCACCCTCACACTGATTTTCCAGGAGGGGCCAAATTTCCCCTCTATGCTATTTAAATATCACCTTGCTGTGATGTGGGGGAAGATAGAAAGCAAACAGTAAAATTTGGGTTAAAAAACAAACATGGCCCAGTGCCAAGGACGCACTGCAGTAGCAGTAGCAGTGGCTGAGGAGGGTCCAAGTGTTCAGGAGGCATTTCCAGAACACCTGGAATGAAAAGCACGAATGAACAGGTAATACCCGACTGTCACACAGTGATGGGAAGTCCAGAAACAGGTGTATCAGCCCAGAATGCTTGACCAGGCCAGGGCAGCAATTAAGTAATATTTTAGAGATTAAATATATAAGTAATGCCCTTAAATACGGTTTCCTGGAAAGTCACCTTGCCAGCCTGTCCCTTTGGCTTTGGACTAGACTATGAGCCTGACCTATTGGATCTACAAAAACTCATAAGTTGTTGGGTTTAGAGCTATGCCATGATTTAAAAAAAAGAATCTTTTGTGTTATCTGGATCATCAGGACATGTATTACGTGGTTTCAGGTAGGGGTCCCTTGCAGAGCAGCCTTGGGGCAGCAGCAGTAGGCATGAAGAGCTCTGAAATTGTGTGGAATGACCTCAGTGATGGGACCTGCTGAAAATACCACCAAGAGGCTGCTTAATGCTCTCCTGCATAGCTCTCTTCCTCTATTACTTACAAAGACTTCCTCAAAATCCCCCAAACAGCTCACCCCTGGAGATTTGCAGCAATTAGCTTCTGCTATCAAAGAGAGCCTTCCCAGTGAGAATGGAAGAACAGATGGGGCAGGGGGTCCTACCTGCAAACTCCTTCATTAAAAAGACATAAATCCCTGCTGCATCCTTTCAACTTGCCTGGGAAGAGATGCACCCCCAGTGAAGTCTCCCCTCTTGTGTGCATAGGGAAAAAGGCCACAGCTTAAATGCCACTGTATTTGCACAGCACTATTTTTTTTCCAAATTCTCAGCATGTCTGGGAGGAAGCAGCTAAGAGGACTTGACTTTGATCTGGAGCATCAGAGTAGGGATCTTCACCATACTGTGGATGTGGGGGTGTCCTGTCTGCCTGGCTTTGCTTGTACCTGTGCAGCCTTGGGGATTTTAGCCCTCAATCCATGAAAAGAGGAGGTCCTGCAGCCTCATCCCACGTGAGGAACCCCAAAACAATCTGTCCAACGACCTGGTCTGGGTGTTTTGATGATTGTAGAGGTGCCCCAAATCCTGTTCTTCCACTGTGAGATCTGCAGCATTGTTGTCCTCCCACAGCAGGCAGGGAAAGTGTTGTGAGTGCAGCGGCCCAAAGTTGGGGGGAAACAGAAGGGATTCCTGAGTTCCTGTTCACTGTGTTTAGCAGGAGGTCACTCTGGCTCAGGGACACCTGCCACCTCCCTGGGGGGAGCAGACCTGCAGAACTCCCTCAGGATGAGCTGAATGAGATTTGGGACCAGGAAGGATTTGTGGCTACAGCCCCCAGAACCCTGTGCTCTGCTGCCGTATTGGGTCGTCCTGCACAATTCTTTACTCTTCTATTTTCCAAGAGCTTAAACAAAGCAGGGGCTGTTTTATCTCCTCTAAAGGGTCTCAGCCACCACAAGCCATACCGGCAGCTCCCAGTGTTCATCTCTGGCTGTGTCTCAGGGATGCTGAACTGTGTCCTGCATTCTGTATCCCTCATAACTGACGGACATGGAGCACTGATGGCCAGGCATCGGGTGTCTGTTCTCCCACCTGGGATCGCTGCACAGCAGCCGAGGCCTTGGGAACAACCGGGGTCTCAGGGTGCTGGGACATGAGCACACACTAATTCACAGGTATTTTCCTGAATCGGATGTGCCAGCGCTCTGTGAATCCGTGCACTGAGGATGAGTGGAGCGGGGCAACTGGAGGGGCTTCGAACATGCCCGGTGGGAGCTCCAAACCCCGGCCCCGCTCAGGCCGAACTTCGGCACGGGGCGGCTGAGCAGAGGTGAGGTGAGGGAGGAGCGCGGCTTAAATTTAACACTCAGTGGTTAATTTCTCTCTCAGGCGCGACACAACAGAGGAGATGCCGGGGCGGGCGCGGGGTGCCCGGCGGGGTAGAGCGAGACGGCTCGATCTCTGACCG